TAGTTCTGATTTGGGAGTGAATTCCACATCTCTTATGCTAGAGGAGAGCCCTACAACCCTACTCCTGGATTTCATAGAATAGGTCAGTCCAGTTTCACTGTTAATGGCTCGTGTTCTGAAGGTTTGAGACAGTGTGCAACATCCAGCTATCAGTGTTCTGATAGCAGAGAGGATTCTGCGATGTGTATCTCATCCTGTCTTCATCAGAGTCATTAAAAGGTTAGTGTCTTTCTTCCAGTAAGGGCTTCTGCTTCCTGAGAGGAACTAAATCTTGTCCCCAGGTCCTTGATGGGACAGATCTCTCACCTCTTTGTGTTGGCAACTGTCCTGTGTTCAGAACCTTTAGCAGGTAGAAAAATAGCACTAGTACTAATAATACTGTGAAAGAGTAAGGTGAAGAATGTCAGTAGTCTGGTTTTGTCTATACTTGGTTTAAGCTGACTGAAAGGCACATGGAAAAAGACAGAGGCAAATTACATCACTGAATTTATTTGCAGGTATAAATAAGAATTTGCAAGATTAGACCCTGCAGCAATACTCACTCAGTCAATACTACACCCTTTATTTTTTCAGTCCATACTTGTATATAAATTTAGTGGCCTGACTGTTTATCTTAGTTATTAAACTTCTTCTGTTGTTGTATATGGGCTTTATTTTACGTTTTCCTGTGTACTTGCTTGTGATTAGCACTTGAAATAATGCAAGTGTTAAAAAATAATTTAACAATTCTTTGAACTGAAGGCAGAATGGATGGGAAGAATGGGAAAGAATGGATGTCATCCTGAACTGGTGAAGTTGTTCCAAGTCATACTGTTTGGAGTATAACAGTTTGCACTGGGTGAAGATGCTCGTTACCATTAACCATGAAGTTTACTTTTGAGGGGGAGGGATATTCTGAGTTGATGCAGAAATTCTGTACCCATTCTGAACACTGAAAAAGCTCAGGGAGCATTGACATTTTTATCTGCTGTCCCTGGTCTATCCTCGACTTGGACTTAAACTTGCATGTCAGCATTTGGTTTGAATCTCCCCTAAGATAGCAATGGCAGCCTACTCTGGAGCACATGAACATTTGTTTTGGGAATGAAAGCTGCACCATTCGCAGGAGGTTTGGAATAAAATGTTCCTTTTGGATTTTGTTTACAAATGATCAGAAATTTGGATTTGGTGGTGAATAATTTTAAGTGGAGAAATATGACTGGTAAAAAGCAGTGTAATAATATGTCTGTAGAGCACTTTGAAGATGAAAAGCTCTATACACTGTAAACATTATTACTAGTACAGCTTAGTCTGTGTGGAATAATTAATCTAGCATAAGTAAATTGTAGATTTTTTTAATGCACAATATAGTGTTTCAGAAGTCTAATGCATCTATGTATTTATTTTCACATTGTAACATAAGGAATTCATCCTCCAATATTTTTTTAATATCTGTATGTTGCAATGATTTACTTTGTTGTTAGTTTCCAAACATACAGACAGTCCTAATCCAGAACAACCTGTTCTAAATGTGAAACGTCTGGGCTGGGAGGGAAAAAATAGGGTTTTTTTAAAAGATGATCTAAAAATACTGAGTGATGAGAAGTAGGTGCCTGTCAGATATGGAAAGGTTCGTGGGGCAGTTGGCCTTCTTAAGCTCAAACTGTGGCTTTGGAGAAGCCTGAATTTAGTTGCAGAGCCACGCAGGTGCCAGATTGTGCTGGGAAGGGAACACCTGCCAGGCTGCTCCAGATAACTCAGCACCTCAGAGGCATTTTCCCAGGCTCCCGGATGAATGGTCCCTAATAGCCGTGGGAGAGGGCTTCCCACTGCTCCATGCTGTACCACAGCCTCTTCTTGGCAGCCTTCTGGAAGCAAAAGTCAGCTTGGCTTGTGACTGCTTTGGAAAACAAGTGTTGCTGGATAGTCTTACAGTAAAGAGTCGGTGTCTGATACTTCCTCTCGGTGTCGTGGGACTATGAAATATAACAGGCAGGGCAAATTACCATTCCCTTAAAAGGCATTACTCACTGATGTGTATTTCAGCTGAAACTGAATTCTGGCTTTTCTAGAACCACTTTTATTCAGTCACGTGTTTGGTTTCAAGCTGTATTTTGCTGGGTTTAGAGTTTTCTGGTTTTGGTGTTCTGGTTTTTTGTTGTTTGGTTTTTGGAACCTGGATCTGATGATTGAGGTGCACAGTTTTGAAGTAAGAAAAACAGAACTCCAAATCAATAACACCAGTTTTATTTCTGCTTTTGTGTTGATAACCTACAAATGCAGCTTTGTCTGTGTTGAATGATGAAGAGAAAATAGAAGATTGGGCCAACTGGGTTTGCTGGGTTTTTAAATGCACTTCTATGGTGTGTTTAAAAGGAGTTAGTGATAGATCATTTGGTACATATCAGCTGGTCTCTTCTTCCACATATCATGAGCAGCAGCTTTTGGTCCTTGCTGAGTATACAGTGTCTGTCTTCCCTGGAGCATAATCCACAGCTTGCCCAAAGCCAACATTAGTATATGCTGGTTTATAAACAGTGTTGACGGTGGACAAGTCTGGAACTGAGAACAGACTTAGACTCATGCTGAGTAACTGTGTAGAAAGTTCAAAAAGCTGCAAGTTGCACGAGGGTGTCAGATAACAAGGTTTTCTTGTGGGGTTTGTTTTTTAGTTTCTTAGTTCATGAAGCAGGATGGTTAATCAGATCATATATTTCTCTTGAAGGAAGCAGAAAGAGAGTATCACAGTTTTTATAGTTCTGCAGTAACTCTGGCAACTTTAAAAGTAGGGAAGTTCTGCAAACTCCAGCTGGCTATGGATTAGATCAGATGTCACATACAAGAGGCTTTCAAAACATTTGATGAGCATAGCTGTGTGATACATTCAAGATACTGGTATCTTGAATGCATCTTAAAACTTTCTCACAGTTAGCAATAAATAACAGCAAATCATCTCTTCAGGCTTTTCCAGCAAAGTCAAGTAATAAATAGTCATGGAAACCAAAATTATTTTCTAGTGTTAGTCCCTCTGGGCTGAGCTTATTGGCTCAGGTGCAGCTCCCTGGGAAGGCTTTATAAGACTTCAGACTTGAGCTGACACTGCAAAACCAGTGTAGAGGTGTCTCGATCTCTTACATAAGTAGGAATTTGGTTACATTTGAGGTAGATATTCTTTTCCAGAGAACAGTGGCCAGCTGAATCAAGGGCTTTAAGAGGAATCGGAAACTTTGTTCAGGCCATTAGTCAGTCAGATATGATTAAATACTCAGCCTCTCAGAGAACACCAAGATAGCAAGAAAAATAGACATACCTGTCACTGATTCATACAAGAATTTCAGGAATGAATTATGATGCTTTTCCCTTGAAAAGCAAAAGATTCACTTTTTCATTTTAAGTTCCTCTCAAGAAAAACATATTTGGAATATCCCAGACAAATGGAAGTGGAGAGACTTTAATATATACTCTTTATATATAATGTTTGAAGATACAGGTATATAAAATCTTTGAAGATTTGTTTGCAAAGTTGTACTTCTATCAATGTTATTTTTTCAGCATTACAGAGGACACAGTGGAAGATGCTATTATGCCACTAATAACTTATTTATGTATTCTTTGATTTGGCTAACCCTACTCACAATGTTAAAGAATCGTGGATTCCAAACAGGAAATAGCTAAAAGTCATTTTCTTTAATTGTGCTCGTAAATATACAGTTAATAAAGCTTGTGGATTACATCCAAATTTTTCTCTAGTGCTCATCATTTTTAAAGGATGGTTCAACTTGTCACATCTTGACTTGATCTCGAAAGGGAAGTCAAAGTTTAGTTATCTTCCTGAGGGGAAAGAAAAAAGATGGTTGATAAATTTCCAAGGGATTCTTGTGATCAATAACTGCAGTTCTTAATGAGGAGTGATGCTTAACAGCACTTGGTGGTGAGCTCCAGGAGGTCTTGTACAAGTAGGAAGGTTGTAGCCTATATAGGAGAGGACATGCATTTTGGGGCTTATACTTAGAAATAAGGCATGCCTTGGCACTAGCTCAGTAGAAATTGAGACTGGGACAAACAGGCTTTCCTTCTTTTTAGATGGTTAGATTAGAAGAAACAGTAGCACTTAATTTTCTAACTTTTCTGTGGTAATTGCATCTGGGGTATCTGATTGTCTTGGAAGCAGCAATAATTTTAAGTCTTGCAAAACCCATCAGAGTTAGGGGAAATACCACTAACCTTCTTCTGCACATTCATTTTAGTGCAGAAGAAAGACTGTGGAGGAGGAGTTACACAGATGCTAACTTCTTTGAGTTTCAGTGGGAGTTAGGTTGCTAAATGCCTTTATGAATCAAGTCCTAACTGATCTACTCAGGGTCATTTGGGAATTTAAGTAGAACAAAAGTAAAAGCTGATTTCCTTTAGCCATAGTCTAATAGTCTCTTTGCTGTAATATAGCCCTTTCTGTCCTTTCCTTATGGTGCACGTATCGTTCTCAGGAACAGAAACTGAAGAAGCCTCTCTGTTATGGGTAATCTGCTGGGTCAGCATGGCTAGCTGTGGCTGCTTGTAGATACTGAGGAGTTTAAATGCATGCATATCTCAATTCAATGGAATTACAGATAATCAAGCTATTCCATGTTTTTTTAGACTTTTGTCTATCAGGTTTGAACATATCACCTTTCTCTAGAAGGCAGTTAATAAATGGTCATCTGTAGTGTTCATGTAGAATATGTATGAAAACATCGTAGTGAATAGGACTCTACTGGACTAGTGACCATGACACTAGGCTATTAAGCAGATGACAGCACTGAATTATTGATGATAATTTATTTCTGTGGTTGGATACCAGAACCTTGGTGGTTAGTAACATTTTTAAATGTTACCCTTGTTTCAGATCCTAATTTCTTGAGACCTCGGGATGAGCAGTTTCTTTTTTAAATTAAATTCTTTTAAGGGTACATTTTCTTCTGTATTCTTGAGCTGCTGCTCTCTCTCAATCCTCCCTTCATAGATATGCAACACTTTGAGACCAGAATGCCCAAGATACCCTTACACTTATTATTATCCCTTTGTTTTATGTTGCAGCCAACAGTTTGCACATTACTGCCTACTTTATGAAGAGATGGGTTAATCTCCGCTGTGCTGTA